CTCATCTGCAGACCTCCTTGCACAAGTCGCTGTGGCAGCGCTTCCGCATGGCTCACGCAGGAATGAATGAATGGCTGGGCGCTGCCTCTTGATTTATACTTCAGAAATTCGTTGGTCTGCCCTTTGTCATCGGCCCTTGGTGCTCACAGTCCCCCTGTGGTACTTGCTGGACTGGACTGGACTGGGATCTGCATCGGCTACTGCCAAAGGTGAAAACTGTTTCATACCTATGTATACATCAGGAAAGAATCCACAAACTGATTGAAGGATACGTACCGGCTGGCCTAGCTCAGTTTGTACACCCACACACTGTTGACATGCAGACCTGAGTTCGAATCCCAATGGAGTCAGGTGAGTGAAAATGACTCTGAATTTGCATGCAGGGGGTTCGAATCCCAATGGAGTCAGGTGAGTGAAAATGACTCTGAATTTGCATGCAGGGGGTCCGTTCAAGATGATCTCACAAGGCTGGCACCCTACTGATTCACCACTTCTCCTTCTCAAACTTTTTTAATAACAAAGTTGGTAATCAACGAGCTGCGGCTTCTGGCTCTAACTGTTGCTTTACAGTGCTGTGCCTCTGATTTTTTGAACCGGATTGTAACTTGTAAGTCGTTCTGACAGGATGAACTTTGGAAGTCTATTACCGTCCTTCAGCATCATGGCAACTGAGGTTTCCTCTACTTGTTTTTTAATTTTTCTGCTGCTGCCACTTCCACTAGTTCTTAGTACTACCTACCATGGCTACGATCCAGACGTCCGGACCGCCATCCAGACGGTCCGGATTCAGTCCGGACTCCAGACGTCCGGTGTGGATGATCCGGATCTGCCAAAATTCGAGGGAAAAAAAAAAAACCCAACGGTCGAGGACCCTTCCCCATTGAGGAGCCGAGCCCCCAAAATTGTTTTGGGGGTTTTTTGGGCCCGTTTATGCTTTTTGGGGAGGTCCGGACGTGCTCTCTCTCTATAATAATTTATTAGACAATTGCGAGGCCACAGCCTCGATGAGCCCCTTTCAGGCCCTGTCAAGCAGCACGTCGGCCGCCCTATGTGAAGGCAGGCTTGACGAGGACCTGAGGGCCTTGTTTCGGCCACCACGCAACTAAGGAAATTCAGGCAGTTGCGCAGCGCCAGTTGGTTGAAAGAACCCAGGCCCTGGGCTGCCTGTTTGCATGTATCGAAGGCAGGCCCTGGGCTGGATACGGGGTGTGGGCCAAACACAGGCCGAAGGCAGTTGGGCAGAAGCAACCACCTCAGGCCCTGGGCCTGATCTGTTTTGGACTGGGCCTCAGACTACCGGGGCCTACTGGAAGCTTCTTGGGAAAGGCCCAGCATAGCCTAGGACAGAACGCAGGCAGGCCACTTCCATATAGCAAAGGGCCTGCCTCCGCATTGGACATTCGGGTGCTGGCTGCATGCTGCGCAAGCGCTGCTGCGCTGAAGCTGGCCAGCGCTCACGGGCGAGCTGGAAGGGGCAGGCAGCCATAGCCGAGCTGCGCTGCTGTGAGCTGGGTGTGGCACAGGGTGGTCCTTGGGTGCAAGTGGCATCTGTGTTTTGGGGAACGAGGTTCTGAGTGATGCGACATACCTGGTGCTAGAAGTGTGCGGCATTGGCCGCTGTCTGCTCGTAATTCGGGAGAGCTGTTGTCGTCATCTTTGGCATTGTAGTATAGGCTAGATAGGATCTGCCATCTGTAGTCTGGGCGCTGAGCGCAAGATAGGATATCAACATTGGTTCGTCGTTGATGATGACGAGACTATTCCAGCATTGTCAATTATGAGCTTTTGGTGTGCTCTTATTTGGTGAAACTCGTGATGCAATTCCGCTCTTGGTTCGAGGTCACGACTGTCTGGTCTAATGTGTATGATCCTGTTTGATTGCTGAAGTTCGCTATTGCTCATCTTCCTTGCACAACCCCATTTTTTTAATTATTAATAATTCATTACCTTTTATTAGTTTTTAAAGTCTTTTTTTAAGCTTCTTTATATTTTTTGACTTGTAACCTGAGTTTGGACGCCGCCCGGCCGGGCGGGGCCGGTTGGGATGCCCGGGCAAACCGTGCGGGCAAAAGAAAGAGCCCAGAATTTTTTTTTTTTTTTTTTTTTTGAAAGCGGAGTCCTCCTGTGCTCGGCGACAGGACCCCGAATCTGCAATAAAAAATCTGGTTTTGGGGGGGGACAGGTTGTCTGGGTGCGAGGGGGGGGGAGGGGAGGGGGGTTTCTGGGTGTTCGGGACTCTGCATATATGTTGCCTGCTGTTTGCTGCATGTGTGATACCAAGTACATAC